AATAATAATAATAATAATAATAATAATAATAAGCACTCACTGATTGGTTGTAGCTGTGTCTGTTTTCATATTCTTTAAGCGATTGCTCCAAGGCTACTTCTATGGCCTTATCTTCGTCCTCCCTTGTTTTGAAACGTTCACTCCACTCCTATTAAATATTTTAACACATAAGGGCCATTTATACGAGGAAAAATAAGACGCGTCTTACATAAGACGCGTCTTAAATAAGACGCGAACTGTACCATTTATACGAGCATGTCTTATCTAAGACAAGAACAGCTCGTATAAATGGTTCGCGTCTTATTTCTGTTCTTGACTCGTTTTCATGTGAATGTTGCCCGTAGCAATAGCAATCCAACGTGGCGCGCCAAAAATTTACGCATGCGTATTATGCGTTCGCGTCTTATGTAAGACGCGAAGGCCATTTATACGAAGTTTTTCTCGTCTTAGCTAAGACGCGTCTTATCCAAGAACAGGTATTAAGGGCTGTTCTAAGATAAGACGCGTCTTAGCTAAGCCGCGTCTTATTTTAGACGAAATGTGCCGGTTATAAGGAAAGTTCGCGTCTTATTTTTTCTCGTATAAATGGCCCTATAGTTTCACATATTTTAGTAGTGTAAAATTCACCAATTCGCGCTATCGTAGCGAGCGCAAAAGGCTTGCAACCCGGGCCTTGCAACCATTAGCGTCAAAATGAGGACGACGAACGGGAGATGTGAGAGGCTAGAGAAAGATCAAAAAATCTTCTTGAACTTACCAGAGACAAAACTATCAGTGAACAACGCTTAAGGCCCGTTTCAAACGTCGTGCTACTGCCGTACCGAACTCAATTGATCAAATTAAATTCGACTTTAGCACGGCAGTAGCGCGACGTTTGAAACCAAGTCGTGCAACTGCCGTGTAGCACGGAAAGCCTTGCCCTGCTACAGGGCAGTAGCTCGACTTAGTTTCAAACGTCGTGCTACCGCCGTGCCGAACTCAATTCATAAATTATAAATACATTAGAATACACTTTAAAGTTTGCTAAACCTTTTCTTTATTTTTGTGTTTTCGGCAACAGCCGTTCTACTCCACTGAATTAAATTCGACGTCTGAAACCAAGTCGTGCTAGTGTCCTGCTGCAGTTGAGCTACAGTCGAGCCAGCTTAGCACGGCAGTAGCACGACGTTTGAAACAGGTCTAAGTCTGTCTAAAGCGCACCGTGTGAGCCAATGAGGAGACATTTCAGTCCCACTGGTTTTTCATTTGTCCACGACGGAAAGAGAGTATTTCGGCTTTATTGTAACCGGTTATGTTTAGGTGGATATTTGCATCTTCACTAGTAACTGAGAATACTCTCTATAGGGTTTTAAAATACTGGTTCCCGTCTCATCCATTTTTTTTCTTTTCCTCCTCTCTTATAACCTTTTCTATAGATTGTTTATTTGTTTGTCTGTTTTTAAGAGAAACGCCTTTATCTCTTCAGCCGCTGAGGACGAGGAGGTTCTTCTGCAAATCGTTTATGGCTGCAGACACGTAGACTGTCCAGGACGTTTCCTTTATGTTGCAATGATTAATATTTAGCAAAGATGGAAGGTTATGTTTTCAAATGTTCTTAATTTCAGTACTTTCACTTCACTATGAAAGCAAAGTGATATATAACAGCTGGAAACAATGATCTATTGCTTACCTTATCCATCTTTTCAGAGTTACGCTCGTATCGTGTAAGCCTCTTGGATTTCTTTCCTAGTAATCGATTTCTTTCTATCTCCACACTGCATTTAACAAACTACAGGATGGCAGTCTACAAACTGAAGTAACATGAGAAATTGAAATGTCAGAAGCATTTATAGATTTAATTAAACAAAGAGTAAGTTGAGAAGTAAACGCTGGCGTAATAAACTGGTACATATTGCTGAGCCACATTTGAACTTGTATGGAGCATAAGGAAATTGGAGTGGGAGAAAATCCAAGTATCTAAGGTGTAAATGAAAATACAAAAACAGAAAAAATTGTTGAAACCTGTATCTTTTTACTAACTTCGACTTCATAAACAAAATGTTGTTCAATCATCCATTAAGAAAAACATTTGACCGTTAAGGTATTCTTTGCCCTCGCCACAATTGCGTCCCTTATGGATCTTAGGGCTATCTTTGACTGCAAACGTCGCCTATCGCCAAACAACTGTGCGCTTACGAAAAGTTTGAGTACGCAAAATAAAAAGGAATGGTTCATTAATCAATAATCCTATTTGCATTCTATCGACATGGGAAAGCCCCTTCCACGAAAAATTTCACTTTCACCTCATTTACTCGCATGCTTGACATGTCAGTGCCTTTCGTGACAAACAAATTTAAATTTTCGATCGCTACTAGGATCATATGCAAATAGATAGGAAAACAGGTACAACCTTGAATCGAATTCTTCGACGCATCTGATCATCAACGCGTTCGAAATGAACTGAAAAAGTGGAAAACTGCGAATACAGCCGTCTCTCCTCACAAAGACGGCTGTATTCGCAGGCTAACTGGTAAAATAAAAGAAAACTAACACAAAAGTAGGTTGCGTTTAATAGTCCCGGTGAACGTAGTCCTGAATAGGACTGTTGTTGACAGTGGCTGACGTTTCGGCAACCTGTGAGGTAGTCATCTTCAGAGTCAAACAAAGTCTAACACAGTCAACAAAATAGATCTCCGACCACGCATCATTTTATATATTATATCAAATGATTATTTGAAGAAATACGAATACCATTCGAAAGAAAGGGTTTCGTGTTTATATTAAGTGAAACTGATGGTAGTTTTCCGGGAAAACAAACAACCGTAGATACTTCCGGGAAGAAACACTCTTACTTTCTGTTGGAATTGGATGATATAAACTTCAGTTTGCTGACTTATCTACTCTTAAAGTTGACATTTCCAGCGAAGGAAAAATATTTTGAAAGGACAGCTTCCGTGTAGCTGCTGATGTTTGCTTTTCTAAGGTTGATAATTTATAGTAGAGTTCACGATACTGAGAATGAAATATTCATTAAGCATGATAAAGCTTCTTGGTACTCAAGGAAAATTTCGCTTTACACGTTTATATACTCAACCATCAATAAAGAGGTTTCCTTTGTATAAAAGGTGAACAAAATTAAGAAATAAAGTGTAGTTATGCTTCGTTATTTGTTAAGACCACCCGAGAAACAGGCTGGCGTAATATGTACCTCGTGGCTGATCTTCTTCTCCGGTTCACCATTTACAATGGGACTACAATTTGTAGCGGTGTGCGACAAACGCAGACTGCAGACTTGTAGACAGGCAGGTAAACAAGGTAAACATTGTTGTGAAATGCTTTAACAGATTCCCTATCCCTAAACTAGACTTTAAGAAGACTTGAAGTTAAGGGATAGGGAATCTGTTAAGGCATTTGACAACAATATATGTTTACCTTGTTTATCTGCCAGTCTGCAGTCAGCATCTGTTGTACACCGAATTTGTAGCCACGAATCCGGTTAACTTTAGCGAGATTGTTTTGGTAAAACTACACAAAAAAGCTTACCTCTTAGCTTTCCTTAAAAATGTTCACCATATCAACTTTCTGTAAGCAACAGTTCTCGTGTGAAATGTTATTATGATAATTACTACCTCAGTTTTAATGTTTCGTAGAACAGTGATGTCGCTGATTTTCTTGGAAGAGTCTGGGTACCAATGCTCACCTATTGTTCAGGAATGACACAGGACGGAATTACGTCTGCGGTGCGCAGGCTACTGAATATCTGATGAACTCAATTCTTGTAAAATCTAGTGCTGTTGACTGCATCAGGCTTTGTAATAACAAATACGCCACTTTCAGTTTTAAAGCAGTGTTAAGACATTCTATGACTCATACCAACAGGAAAGAAACTTGCAATTTTGCAGTATTTCTTGAATAAAGGTGCTCAATATTGTCTATAAATAGACAAAAATCAAATACTCTATTAACTTTATTTACTTCATGTGTATGATAAATATAGATGGTAAACGAAGAGAAATGCAGACAGGGTGCCAACAGAGGAATAAGTCCTTGAAAAGATGACCCCCTGAACTACTCTTATCATACCTACAGCTGTAACAACTGAACATCTTGCTGAATAACAACTAAGAAAGCACTGTGTTTATACTTTGTTCTTTAATTTCCGAGAAGTGGCCGGGTATTTGGAAGAAGCTCCAACTGTTTTAGGAGTATAATTTATTATCAAAGTTATGGATATTAGTACCTCTTAGCACTAGTTGCACTGATTTCACTGTGAGATCAAAATTTTCGGCGAACCGCGGGTCTTACCTTCAGTGCTTTTCATGATTGAAGCATTGAACAAAGCGATTCTGTGCTGACTTTTCTCGGTCAGATGCAAAGTGATCATTGCAGAAGGACATTACATTTACGAAGGATAGAAAATCGCTTATTTATTCGGATCCAGAAGGCACTTTGGAGAAAATTAGAACCCTTATTCAGCCGTAACAAAAAGCTTTACGCTACAAAAACCTGAGGTAAAAAAAATGCTCTTGCATCAGAGGGCAAATCCTGCCGACCAGAAACAAAAAACAGTAGATCGATATCTGTATAAGATATCGTGAATACAACATGGCACAACAATGTTCGGATAACAAATAGAACGATTGACAACAACGTTGAAAGCACAAAATGGCGGTAAGCGACTTAACAAGACGCAGACCAAGACCACCCCATGCACTCTTTTTCTTAGTTTCCACTGGGATAAACAACAATGGCATGGAAAGGAGAGAGACTACAGATCAGCTCTATAGATTTTTGGACTGCGGCAAAACTCATTTACTAACCGACACTTGAATGCAAAGTTGAAAAACATACCTCATTCAAACGTGTGAATTCAACCGCCCTGAAACCTCTCGGCCCAAAATGTTACTTCCATCAGCTCGCCATCTTGGGCATACGTGAAGAGAAATGTCTTTTCGCCCATTTCCAATGGCATTATGGATACATACGGCGAGCAATGACGAACAAAAAGCGAAAACGACGAA